TGCTTGCTCTTCTTTAAATAGGCAAAAACCAGTCTAAGATTCCAGCTCTGTTCTATAAAATTCAACTTCTGCTTGCTGTTTTTGTCTTCTTTCTTGGTATAAAAATTAGAAGGGATATTTCACTGTACTGTCAAAACTGTCAGGGTACACTAGGAGGATAGGGACACAAATTACACATAAACCAGTTTAAGTGATCAGAAACTGGTTTAAATGTAACAGAACAGAAGTTCAGTACACATAAACCAGTTTCAAAATGCCCAAAACTGGTTTAAGATAAACCCACTTGAATGTAGTATCAGGCTGGACTGATTGAGGTCAAATTGGTTTATGGAACTTCGGTCCCAGACCCCTTCCTAGTTGAAGTTAAATCAGAGTCCCCCAGCATCCCAGAATGCACTGCAGCTCTGGGCTGGGCTGTCTGCTTCAGACAGGAAGGCTGGCCCTGCCTCTCTGCTCTTTAGCCAGGGCAGGGATGGGGGCAGGGAAGGGGTTTATTCCCCGTCCTTCCCCTCTGTCACTGCGGGACCTCAGCCACTGTCTCCGTCACTTGCCCCTGACCACGCAGACCAGGCTGGGGTTCTCCTGTGGGAGAGGGGAGGGAGGGAGGAATAAACCGCCTCCCTTCCCCCTTTGCCCCAGCTGGCCATGCTGACTGGCATTTGGCCATGGCCCTGGCCCCGCTGCTGGAGCAGCAAGGGTTGGGGGCCCCCACAGGGGCAGCAGCCCCTGCCATGGTGTCCCAGGGAACACAAGCCTCTTTCCAGTGGGAGGGCTGTGCTACAGGTGGGAGTGGGGCAGGCAGAGCTGCCACAGCCTGCATGGGGTAGGCAGTGGTAGCAGCCAAATTCTGAGGTGGCCATAACCTCCGAACCCCACCCAGCACTGCTGCTGCCACCTCTCACCCTGAGCAGCCTGCAGCAGCTCTGCCTGCCTTGCCCCTTCCCCACCCCATCTCTCACCAGGAAGAGGCTTGCACTCCCAGGAGAAGCCATCACTGCTCCAGTGTCAAGGCATGGCCAGATGCCAGATGGCATGGCCCCCTGAGGCAAAGGGGCCAGGAAGGGGGTTTATTCTTCCCTCCCTGCCCTCTCCCACTGCAGAACCCCAACCAAGGTCTGCCTGGCCAGGGGCCGGTGGCAGAGATGGCAGCTGGGGCTGGCAAACACCGGCTGCAGTCCCCTGATGGGAGAGGGAAATAAACCCTCTCCCTGCCCTTTGCTTCAGGGGGCCATGTCAGGCCAGTGTCTGGCCATGCCCTTGCCCCTGCTGCTAGAGAGATAAGGCGGGGGGACTCTGAATAGGGCTGCTCTGCCCTGGTCAGGCAGGCCCTGGCTGCAGTCCCATGGGAGGGAGACGGGTGGGAGGGGGAATAACCCCCCCCTTCACTGTAGAGGGCCACGCCAGTCCAGCTGGGGTACCTGCAGGTCAGGGTGGGGGTTTAAAACCCTCCCCAATCATACTCAGACCTGACAGAGCCTGGCCACACCCCCACCCTCTCCAGCTCAGCATCCCTTGGCCACTGTGCAAAGGAATGGAGGGCTCGCTCTAGCCCCACTTGCTCCTGGCCTGAGTCACTGCAGGCATGTGGCTGCATTTCTGGAATCAAAAATGAATGTCTATTCACTTGCTTGCTGGTTCAATCTACACAGGTTACACTAACCTGCGAAACTGAATCAATTCAGGCTCAAGCTTTTCCAATATCTGTACTAAGCAGTATTCATTCGCACACAATGATAATTTTTTTTGGAGGTTTTGAAGGTGAATGATTAGATGGTGTTTTAGTGTTTAAATGGTGATTTAGTGTTTCATCAAGTTAAGTTTTCAAAAATGTATGTTATTTGCCATCCTAAAAATAAAATATTCTGAAATGTATGAATGATGATTACTTGTTGAAGGGAGTTAATCTGTTTACTATATACCTACATTTCAGATATTGCCTGTGGGTGTGGTGTAAAGCAAATGTTTGACATACTTCCTTGGGCTGTGGTTTCAAAAATGTACAGGAAGTTTTAGAGTCTGGGTTACATTTTATTGAAATAGATTTTCTCAATTTCAATTTATAGTTTCAGATACATTCTTAACTGCTGTTATAATGGTTTTGCCATTGGGCAGTATATTATTCTGTTTTCATCTTCCAAATGGCATATGCCTAATTCAGACGTTTACCACGTTTGCTTTGCTATGTCAAACTGGTAGACCCTGGTTAATTCTTCAAGATGGGCTTGAAGCATTGGCTGCATTTCCTCTCGTGGGGACGGTGTGAGTGTTGCAGTAGACTGTTGTCCAAAGGAGATTGCAGGTGAGGAGGCCACCCCTCGGACAGGAGGCGTAGGGACTCTGTCATCATCTTCTTCAAGCTCATCCTCCATGCCCTGATGTAAATACGTTTGAACTGGCAAAGGGGGACACCAACCATCACTGTCATATCTGAAATAAAGAAAATGTAAATTGATTACCTGTCAAATCCAGTTTCTTATGCATACCTGAGGGGTAGATAGGGATCTTAGATTAGAATACCACTCTGACATGCTGTTTATAGGCACAGCAATAATTGCTGAAATTCTTCATCTTTGTTTTCTTTGTTTAATTTCCCCCTTAATAGCTAAGCAATTTGAACAAGATTTGCAACAACAAACCACATGTCCATTATCACATTTGTTAATGCTGATTAGATAATGTTACCCTCACAATTACCAAAGGAAATGAACTAACTCACTTTCTGGACTATTAAGCTAAGAGATTTGCATTAAAGATGTACCTGCATCAAGACATGAAAGCCCAAACTGCTCATTAAAAGGCAGAGGATGAACTCCAGTAATTTAGACAGAGCACTTTCTTGCTTGCACCCCCCTTAGTAAGCAGATGTTAAATCTCTGCTTGCATCCCCAAAACAGTGACTAGGAATGCTGGACTGGTCCAAGAGCAGTCTGGAAGGTTTGTAGTTACCATTATTACACATTTAATTGGTTACTGAACCCTGTGACTGGAAAAACAAGCTGCCTTTTCTCTTGCTGTTATGTGACGAGCTGGATGTTTTACTACCACTAATGTGACCGCCCCCACCATATATGGATGTAGAAGAGTAGGGAGGGATCATGATAGTTGTGTATGATCATTTGACCTAAACTGAGATCCCTTCTAGCACAGGCCTGAGCTGAGCACTAGGGTCCAGAGTTGGGCCTGACTGTTGCAAAGGAGAGAAAAATGGGGCGGCATGGGTTAAAATATAAACATTTTACTTTATTAGTAGTTTAACAAGTTTTGTTTTCAATGAATTAAATTTCAATGCATTCAAGTTACAGTGTCCACAGAAACTGTCCTTGTTGCATGTCTGTACACTAAATGACATAATAAATACACACAGCAGCAACATCCCCCAAAGCTGGCTGGAAGGTTGAATAAGATAGTATAAAGGTATTGTTGGCACTTACTGAGTACCTGAGAATAACAGAACTTACCTAACCTCATGCTACTATAGAACTTATGGTGTAAAATCCTGTCATGTATATTCTCCTTCTCTCTCCTTTTTTCTCAATTCCATACTTCATTATGCTGATTTTTTCTTTTTAAATAGACACAAGAGAAAAGAAGTCCATAGTGACTTCCTGGAGATGCATTAATGAGCTCTGGGTACATTTGTCTGGTGACCCTACTTGTTTCAAATGACCCTATAACCAGTTTGAGGGTCTGTTTCTTAACATCTGAAGACTCTCCATAGGTTCTCTTTCTTCACATGATTTTTGAAGCTGTAAAGCTGTAGCTGTAAAATCCTTGGGTTCAGTTGGGATACTGAAACCCTTTGCAATTTTAATTTTAAATTCCTGTACAAATTTCTGCAAGAAAAAAGGTTAAAAAACCAATACTGCTACAAAGTAACTTTATCTGGTATACCTTGCTTGATTTTGGAGTCTCTGAGAGTACAGTACAGCAGAATAAAAAATGGTCATATCCATATTCTTTTTTTTCCCTGTGTAAGTGCAGTTGACCAAAATGTGTGGCATTTTCTTGTACCTATTTGCTAAATATAAGCATCTTAGTATTAGCAGGGATTTCTGATCAGGGTAATTAAATCCACATCAGAAATCTGTCTTAGTAAACACGAGACAGATATTACTGTTCCTGTTACTGTTACGTTATCTATTACTGTTGCCATATCACTCTTTTTTTTTTAATCTCACATTCTTATTTGTTAACAAGCTAGCTAATACTCCCTATTGATATATTGACAGGGTGGCCATCTTTTTGTAATATTGAACAGACAAGACAGATGACATGATAGGTCTTACCACAATCAAACATAAGGCTTTCAGACAAGAAGGAAGATCTGCTCCTTCTGGTATTGTCCATAAAATCTTTTTTTGATCTAAAAAGGTATTTACCTCCATTACTCTTACTCAAGAAACAATTCAGCTACCCATTACACTGATATCACATGACTAATAAATATTTCCTGCTTAGGAAACAGTGGGTGGGTGTACATAAGATGCTTTACTGCACATTAGACCAATCCAATGTACAGTAAAGTGTCACCCTCTACACATGTGCAGCAATTACTGTGCAGTAGATTAGTCTAATGCACTGTTTTCTAGTACATACAGATCCAGGTACTAGAAATCAGCACATTAAAATAATGTGCTGAAGTAAATGTGTAGATGCTGACCAGGAGCAAACTGCAGTTTCTGTCCATTCTTTGAGCTATCTTCAGTTTAGCACCCCGTATTGCTCCCCATCTTGAAAAAAACAACAACAAAATATTATGATAGACACAAGTTTACTGATTATTGTTACTGTAAACATCTACACATACAATTAATGGATCTCAATTTCCTGCCACATGGAGATTGGAATTGGTTCTGATCTCCACATGTGAGGCAGCCGCCTGGTAGGTGGGACAGCTTTCCCCTGCCCCATAGAGATCAGGACACATGCCCCCTGCCAGCCCAGTGCTGGTACCAGGGGGAGCCTGGACCTCCCCCTGACTGCTGCAAGGTGGCAGAGCAGGGCAGGAGCAGCCCTAGACTGAACTGCTCCCACTGAGAGCAAATTTGCTCCTGACAGGCATGCATTCAGATGCATGCAAGGTGCAGTTTAATGGATCTGAATTCTCTGCACAAAAAATTCAGGCACATTAATTGCTCATGAGTCCAGTAACAATAATCAGTATACTTGTTTCTGCCTTAAAAGTTTGTTCCCCTGCCCAAGATGGGGAGCAAGAAGGGTGCTGGACTGAAGACAGCTTAAAGAACAGATAGAAACTGCAGATGGGAATATGGATGGTATTCACAGAAAAACAGCTAAATGAGGAAAGCTTCGTAGGGAAGGAATGTGGTATGGTAATACACTCAGACAAACTGACTACCTGAATAACTTAAATAATAATAATCCAAGACATATATTTCTTTGGATGGTAATGTTTGTTTTCTCAATTGAGAATGGGCACATTCTATATCCTTCCTGGATAATGAAGGGGTAAAGAGTTCACCTCAGAGAGCCTTCACACCTATCTTATTATCCCCAGCTGCTCCACTCCTTTGCATGTTGGAACTGACAGGGATTCATTAACTTATATGAGTGAAGAACAGAGCATAGTGGAACTCTGTGGATGCATCTCCACATGCTTAGTAAGGTGACACAATAAACTCCGCGTGTCTTGTGCTGGTATTTATTGCTCCCAGGTACCGCATCTACATGTGTGTCTGGGATCACAGCACATTCTGCTGGGTTGGAGCAGCCACTTCTGGCAGGGGTCCCAGGGGATAAGCCTGCCAGCCCAGCGCAGCTCGCCACCTGTCTCAACATGGTCCAGAGGGGCTGGCTGGGGCACAAGGTACTCCAGTGTGGGGCTAGCAGGCAGGCAGCTCTTGCACAGATGTACCCTTATGCCCCAGCCAGAGTTTACACATGCACTTGTATGGAATAAAAAATTCCACAGCAGGATAATACTTTCATGTACAAGTACTATGCTGCTGGGGAGTTAATTATTTTACTCCAGCCTACCATCAGCATTCAAAAACAAAAGTTCCCAACAGAAAAAATGTAATCCATTCAGAATGGCCTTGCAGTGTGGTCTGAATGAATAAAGTTAAATTAATGCCACAAGAAAATTGAATGCAGTGGAAAATTCTTAACTTCTGTCCACCTCCAAGCTTGATTGTTAGCATAAGCAATCCAACTAAACCCAATTACAAAGATCAAAGTTAGCATCTTAAATTGTACTCAAGGTCCTACAGTCTGTGAAGTAAATGTATGCTATAATCCCCATTAACAGTAGCATTAAATTGGCAGATAGCGACATCATGCACCAACCTGACTGCCCATATTGTCTTCAAGATTAGTCTTACAAGAAATGCATTATAGTAATAAATTCCACAAAAACATGTTGTGACAGGAAGAATGGTTCACAGCACCCACCCAGAGAAAGCAAGGGAAAATTTACTCTTTGCTATAACTACTACCTGCTCTCCAAATGTAATCACCCCTCCTATACTCCCCCAGACTATCAGTCTCATAACAAAAGATGGTCATTGAGCCAAATACCCCACTTCACTATGTTACACTATAAACATATGTCAATCTGGCCTTTAAATTGCTAAAGCTTGCTGTGGGAGAATGCCCTGGCAGCATTCTGCTGGTGATAGAGACTACCAGCTCCTGTGCCAGGCGTGCTGTCACCCACAACCTAATGGGTAGTGGGGCTGTGGGTCCAGGTGGAGGGAGAAGGTCTGCTATAATGGTGTGTCTACAAGACACATTTACTGTGGAGTAGACTAATTCACTCCACGGTAAATGTCTTGCATCTACATTTTTTCTGTTGGGAACTTTTGTTTTTGAATGCTGATTTTCAGTAGGGTTATTTTCAAATGTAAAATATTTTAAAATATAAAATTATGGTCGTCATATAGATTATAAATCTAAACTATCACAAATACATCGGTAAAAAAAACCTAAATATCTGCCAAGTTGTCCACCCAGTTTCTCAATAAGAAAGCTAACATAAAGAATAAAACTTTTTCTTTGTACTTCCCTTCCAATTTAATAGGCTGAAAGAAAAAAAAACTGTACATAGAAAGGCAAAACACACTGGCTACGTCTTCAGCTGATGTAGCATAGTGGAGCCCCAATGGTTTCAGTGGAGCCATGCCAATTTATTGTCACTGGGTATCTGGTTCTGTGTGTCTAATTTTCATTTTGATTGGTAAGGTATAACTTTAAAACATCTCCTTAAAATTGCTATCAATAAACAAACTGAACAGACTAAAAATTGTGATAACAGGAAAACTTGTGTCTGAGTTGTGTGGAACTTTAGAAACATCTGTCAGTATCACTGAGGACTTAAGCCTTAAATAACCGGTGTTGTCTTGGTGACTAATATAATTTCTTCCACACAGATACTTAATGCAACTGAGAAGTCAAGCCCTATGTCACAA